AGAAAAAAAATCTTTAAAATACATTAAATTATATATATCTCAGAAATTTTTTTAGATAATGGAAATTTGCTTATCTTTAGATAATTCTAATAAGCTTTTACACAAAAAGGTTTGAGGGTTGTATATTTGGCCAGTCAAATATGATTCAGCCAATTAACCAGTCAAATAAATATTTTTTAAATTCAGTGATTTCATATCCAATATATCATTTTCTTTTGTCATCTTCATTCTATTTCTCTTTTCATATGAATATTAAGCAAAATAGGACAATTTCTTTCTGAATCCAAACCTGAAATTGTTAGTAAAATGCTATTTTTCTTAATGGGCCCCTTCCAACAACATGGGGCCAAAATATGATTGTTTCTTATGGAAGTTACTGCTTTAGCATATTTAGCTTTTAATTACTCCACTTTTACTTCTAAAATACTTAGCAACAGCTTGAAATATCTAATTCTTTTATATCACACACATGCACCATTAAACTCGCTAAGATACTCTTATTATTGGAGATCTAATTATGTATTTATAATGTTTTTTCTTTTAAACATGTTTATTTTTTCTACAGATTTTTTAGAGTATTCGACTGTCAATTGACTAACTTGCCAACTCTTGTTTGAACTACCTTTTTAAGAGCCCATATTAATTAGTCTTTATTCCTACAACAAAAGGTTAAACTTATTTTATACATAAATTTTATAAATGAATTTAAAAAGGATCATTTAAGATTCTAGGAAAATCAAATTTACAAAAAGACTTTTTAAATAATTAAGTTACCTTTATAAGATAATTCATAATTGGAATATTTTATTTGCATAAATTTAGGTTTGGATTAGATTATTTTACTTCTAACCAGTTTATATAAAACTGAGCATGATATAATTTACAATAATTTTATGGTAAAATTATTATAATTTAATTCTTATTATAAACAAATTTAAAAGGTGTCAATAAAAAAAAAGAATTTCAAATATTTTAAAAAACAATTATAGAATGCTCATATTTTATAAAAATAGCTATTTGTATAATTTAAACAAGTTTATATAAATTTCAGTTAGAGGTTTATAATAAAACATTTCATAAGAATAGAAAAGTAAAGGAATAATATATTTTATCTAAATTAATTAGACAATCATATTTTATTTTGAAAATGAAAGTGTATTATATAATATTATTTCATTATATTCGTAAACAATTATTTTTTCATTTCCACTGATTTTTTATTCCGTTTATTATTATTTTTTTTGGCATATTTCTGATTAAGAACAAACTTGGGTTCTCGCTAAATAAAATGTAAGCAAATGACATATAATATGTATATTACTCCTTTCATCGACATATATCTGATTCTTTTAGGCTTCTTTATCTTATTTCTGTGTTGTTTCTTAGCTTAAATGGAAATAAATAAGGAATATATAATATATATTTACATTGATTATGATTAGTATGATTTTTTGATTTTGCCATTTTTAAAATTTAAGGAAAGGATGGTAACGATCTTAAAAGTGTTAAACAGAAAGAATTGGAAATATCAGGAAATTATTTATATAAAATATTAAAGAATTATATTAAAATAATATTACGAAATAAATAAATAATTGATTTTGTTCTATAAGTCATCATTTACCGCCTTGGTCTTGTTGATTTCTACAATCCTTCCAGCTTTTGTTTGTATAGATGGTTTTACAGCTCATAGATATAGTTAATATATGTAATAAATGGAATTAGAAAATAAAATAGACTACATTTTTATATTGGATAATAATTATTAATTAAAATGATGAGTTGTTACCTCTCTCGGGGTTCTTATTTCTTTATGTTATATTTTTCTGTTTATTTTTATATATTTATCAGAGAACTGCAGAAGTACAATTTGCACGGCTCGGATTTGTTTTTTCAAAATATGGCCCGGCCTGGCTTTTTTTTTAAAAAAAAAAATTTTCAGGCCCGGTGCGGATTTTTTCAAAATATATTATATTTATTTTTGATTTCTATAGCTAATAATGGCAATTTCAAATATTTGGTTTTAAAATATACGGCCCGGCCCTAGATCTGGGCCAGGCTTAGGGCCGGGCTTGAAGGTCTCTGATATTAGTAATAGATTAATTCTTTTTCTGCTTGGTTAATTTTTTATTTTATTTTAAATTAACTTATCTCTTTTTATTTAAAATAGGTTTTTCTAATATTTGTGCAAAGCATTTATATATGGGAGGGGGGGGGGGGGATGGGGATAGGAGAATTTTGCATACAAATTTAATCCTTAGTTCCGATTATTCTTACTTCCGATTATTCTTACTTCCGATTATTCTTACTTCCGATTATTATGTATATATAATATTATTCCTTCCAAACAAACTTAATATTATTTCCTATTTTTTTAAAAAATGAATATTTTTTTTTAATATTAATATATAACTTAATAAAAACTTTTAAAAAATAAATAAATAATATTCCGAGAGAGGCAACAACCAAATGATGTTCAAAATATTATAATATATGTTCTAATTTATATATTTTGTATACGCTATATTCCGATGTTTATTTGTAAAAATACATACTATACTATTATTAAAATCATAATGATATAATTGATTTGTATTTTTTTTTTAACAATAAAGTCATTAATTAAAAATAAATGTAAAATATGGCAATAATACTACTAACTCAAAATTTTATTGAATATTGTAAATATCAGAAAAAAGATGCAAAAGTATAGTAGTTCCATATTTTATTATGTATTTGTGACAATTTATATTAAAACTTTATTTCGCATGTTGAAATCACAAAATTACAATCAAAATAAAAATGTGTATATTTATATTTAAAAAAAGACAAGTATATATAGTTTTAAAGTAATTGAAAACATTTGCATAATAACATTAAAATAAAAAAAATTTAAACAAATTTAATTTAATCGCCTGTAACTATTTACACATCTTAACATCTCTCTCTCTGAGTAATTCTTTGCTATTCCAGTTTCTCTCTGTCCTATTCATCATCATCATCTCAACGTCTAATCATATGTCTTTTTGTTCATCTCTTTATTCATTTTTTGTTCGTCTCTTTGTTCGTTATCATTATCATTTGATGAATTATAGTAGAATAATTATAATAAGAATCAAATCGAATGGTCCATAGAATGATAATTGATTTTATTTGTTAATGCGAATTTTTATTAATATTATTTTTATAGCGTTTTTTTTAAATATTTTTTTTTATTTCTATTTTTTTAATGTTTATTATATCGCTTGTTGTTTATAATTTGTTTTTCCAAATAATTTTTGTATTCCTTGACATTCATTACATAGTCTTTGGTCTTTGAAATGACTCGGTAAACGTTTTGCTCTTACAGGTCTTTCATCTCTTTCCCCTCCAAAATTTCTTATCGGTTCGTTCACCGTTACTGTATCGCATGATCTTTTTTTTATTTGGTCTATATGTCTTCTTATTATTTTATAACCAGTGTCTATTCTGTATAATAATTCACTCTCTTTTTCAATGACAATGCCTTTGTCCCATTTGTTTTCGATAAATGTTTTATTTTACTAAGCAAGCCCTCCACAAGAACGCTAGATGGTTAAGGTCTGTTAGATTCAATAAATATTTTTTAAATTAACATTAGTATTAAAAATATTTATGTGAATCATCATTTGAATAAAAAAGTTATTAATAGAACGAGCATTTTGTAAAAAAAATTTCCAAAAAAGTATCTATTTCATCCATACATTTATTTGAAGCATCTGCATGTGGTTGATCGTGCATATTTTCCAAATGGGCAATTTTCTTTTACCAACAGATTTTGTGGCAGATTAATATAAGGCCAATTTAGCTTAAATTTTGGGTGAATTTTTGCTGCCAATATGTTACTGTCATCATACAGTTAAAGAAATCTATATTAAGAAATGATAATTTATTATTAAATAAGTATTCATTCATATAAATCAATCTGCAAAACTTAGCCCTTTCAAATTTAGCAGTCAGGCCTGGCCCATCATCTATATCGTATTTGTGGGCATATCATAAATATTGATAAAATTTAATATTATATTTAGACTTTGAAGTTTGAAATACTAATCCTTGAAGAAGATATTTTGTTCTTACATAAATAGCATTTTGCACTGATCATTGTATAGTTACTTCCATCCGTTTCACATAAAGTAATATACTTACGTAAATTATGAAATGGTAAAAGATTCTCATTTTCATTTATATATGCTGTCACATCAATATTAGATGGATTTTCTTCTAAATCTATAATGGAGGACATTATTAAAACCTAGAATTTATTTATATTATATATAATATAATTAAATAAATAAAACTTGTAGACTCTTAATCTCGTTCTAGATAAAATTTAGGAAATTGTTGAAATATAAAATATGGTGGAATGGAAGTTGATAAAATATAATGTAGATAGATATTTTTTTAAAAATAATATTTTAATTTAATTTTCATAATTTTTATTTTATTTATTGCTTTTTAAGTAAAAAATTAATTTTTAAAAGGATGGGGATCGAATGTTAAAAAAAATGATCTCGATCATGATCCTCAATTTAAGTCAGCATCATAAATCTGGGGAAATTGACAAATTTAGGATCGAATACAAGATCGGCGATCTTTTGATTTGATCCTTTAACAACTCTGATTACTACATAATTTATTTCATATCAAAAAAGCTTCTTTGTAACAATCGATTCATTTGAAAAAAAAAACTTAAAACAAACTTCCAACGATAACATGTTAAATCCCGATGTGGTTGTTGTGTGGTTTAAAAAATATTTAATTCGGTTTTACTCTATTTCAATGAAATTAAAAGAAAAAAAAACAATAATTTGAGATGTTATTTTTGTTACTATAATCAAATTGCTTTATTGACGTATATTCTTTCTTTTTGAAAAAAAATTAAACAAATTCATATGATCTCAGCTTTCGCATAAATATTCCTTATTTTTGTTTTGTCAATCAAAATTATTTACAACAATGATCCACAACGAAGATTCATGATGAGTGTCGATAGTGACGAATATAAACTCAATAACACTGACGTTTGTCAAAAAAAAGATATAGTAGGAGTAGCTTGTAAAAGTTATGCTTCGCAAGGAGTTCAGAATATTGATCAGTGGAAAATGTTATCTGCCGACGCTATGGCTCAAGCTCTTAAGAAGAAAAAACCTCAGGAGGACAAAAGAGAGCCCTTAGTTGAACCTAAAGACAAAAGTGAGACCTCACCTGAGCCTAGCGACAACCGAGAGCTCTCACCTGAGGCAATAGACAAAAGGCAGCTCTTGCCTGAGCCTAAAGACAAAAGAGAACCTTCAGATGAGCCCAAGTTCACAAGGGAGCCATTAGCTAAACCTAAGAAAAAATGGAATAGTTACTGCACAGTATTGTGATATTGTATATTACAAATTGAATGTACTTATTATAAATTTTTATAAGTGTTTTTATCATATTTTTTAGTCACATAAAATTAATGTTAAATAAAAATGTTTGGATAATAATGGCATTTTTTTAAGATATGATTTTGTTTAATTATTGAATTATGTAAATGTTATAAATATAAATTTTTTTAAATAATCAAAAATAGTGTGTTATAATAAGAATTTTATTTAAGGCGACTAGTTTTGTTGAAGATACATGTGTAACAATAAATAAGCTAGTTTCCAGGTACAAGTTACATTTTCCCGAATTAACTAGAGAATCTAAACTTTAAAACACTCAACTGCTATTTCTGATTGACACCTCATCTAAATTAAGGTGAAATGATCTGAATTATCTAATTAGGGGCAAATTATTCACCTGTTATTCTTCGATGGGTTAAATGCTAGTATATATGTTGTATTGGGATCTCTCAATTTTATACCATTTACTGAGGGCCATTTAAAAATCTGTTTCAACCGAATCCTACACTATAAATTTCAGATAATTTTCGCCATAATCTTTTGTGTAAATTTAATTTGCATTTAAAAAAAATCCATATAAAACGTATAAATAGTATTTCAATAGTTCTAAGCAAAATTGTCTGAAATTCATAGCTAAGAGTACTTTGTACCTGTTGGAATACATTTCTAATCATGCCAGATTTTTCAGATTTAAAATACGTTGTCAATAAATGATTTAAAATGGAGAGACCCCCAATACCAATGAATTTATATCCATCTTATGCTTATAATTCTTTTCAATAGAAATATAATATTTTATTATAAAATATTATAAATATGTGAATTAATCTGCAATATTTGTCGAGGATTTCAGGATGTCTCCCTCGACAAATAATGCAGATAGAAATCCTGGAGTTCTTTGTACCAATGTCTACTTTGCAAAAGCTAATTCCGGCTTACTACTGCAATATGATACAATTTTTTATATTTTAACAGGATTTTTATGTAGTTTTACAATTTATATACATCATATAGATTATTATGCGATTAGAAATTGTTAATATTTTATTTAGAAGTCCTGATAAATTTAGGAAATCTTAGACTTTTTTCAAAAAACTTTAAGATTTATTTAAGAAAAATATATATATTTTATTTATCAATATAATCATTTCTTCATTTATATGAATATATTTTAATATGCTATAGTAAAATGTAGGAAGAATGTATATATTTTTTTTAATACATAAATAAAGGGAACAATAAATAAATAAATAGAAGAAGTTTAAATCGAGAAGGTACTCTAGGAAAAATAAAATATAATGTTGGAAGAAAAGCTTAGATAGTTAGAGCGAATAATGGCGGTAGCAAGCTTTTGTCGGACCCTCTCCCTAATTATCGATATAAATATCCTTTAAATTATGATCCTGTTATTAGCATATGAGAAAAAAGATTACAGAAAGGCGATTTCATTAAAAGTTTAAAAATAAAAGATATCGTTTATATTTGAATCATTTTTTTAACTGCATGTTCATATTTGCTTATATTTAAGCTTCAAATTTGGGGGCGGGGGAGGGGATGTTTGAGGGTCATAGCTTAACCCTAACCTTATTTTAATAATAATTATCATATCAAAAATAAATTTTTATAAAAGTATACTAACCCCTCAATTTTATACAAAAACACTTCAAAAAAATTTAAAACTAGATTTTTAAAATTTGGTTCAAAACTCTATGCGGAATGTATATCATAATGCGATTAGCTAAACTAGGTCCCATCCGTTATTGAAAAATTTTTTACAATTTTATTAATAATGATATAAAAATATTGTAGATCGTTAAATACGTATATATAATTCAAAAGATATATGAAATAAAAAAAAAAATATAAATATAATACATTGTAAATATGGATACTTTTTTAACAATAAAAACACTAATATGCTCTGCATTTTCATTTTTTTTTCTGATTGTTGTTCGATTTATGTTCCAAGTCTTGCAGGCAAGGCCCATATTTTATTTTATAATTATTACCTAATTCTTCTCCTTGTTTGTTCGTGATATTTAATTTTATAAAATAATTCCTTAAGACAAAGTTATTTTAGCTTACAAATGATATAAATTATGAAGATTTGATTTAAATAAGATAAATAAATATAAATCTCAGAGATTTGCAGGCCCAGCCCTAATCCCGGTTTGGGTCATGGGCCGGGCCGAATATTTTCAAAATAAATATTTTAATTTTCCATTATTAATATAATATATTTTTAAAAAAATCCGGGCCGGAAAATATTTTAAAAATGGGAAATATCAAGATATTACTATAAAAAATTTTAAAAAGGCTATAACACACTATAATAGTTAAATATAAATAAATAATAAAACTTTAAGATGAAATGATCCACAAGGTATTTTCAGAAACATTATTCATAATCGAATTATTCTTGACCCTTAATAATGCATTTAAAATAAGCAGACCAGGCAATTCATTTTTAGCTAAACCTTTAAAAAATAAATCATTAATATTATTATAAGTTAATATTTTTATACTGATGTTCCTGTGTTTCGGTCGCATTTTTCATATCACCATTTATTTTTAAATTTTTGAAGGTAGCATCCTCCCTAAATGGGATGCAAATATTATCATTGTTAAAAAAATTTATAATATAAATATTAAATATTATAAATCGCTCTGATGGTCTATCCTTATATCAGCTGCTTGATTAATTATTATTCTATCAATTTATGACAGAGAGATGTCTGTCTCCAATAAAAATATAATATGAAAAAAATAATGGTTTTAAATTCTAGAACATTTTAATATACACATCGGTTTATAAATAATAATAATCAATATTCTATAAATGCAGAGAATTAAATATCTACTGCCACTACAGGAGATATTCTAGTTAAATGACAGATTATAATGTGCCGTGAAATATTTATAAAAAGTTTAGTATGATTCTCTGGTTGTTATGATAAAATGTTATAATGTATAAATCATTAATATACCTCAACCGACAAACATCAAAATGGCGAAAGAACCCATATGTTAAAATCATTATTTAATACGTAGTCTTTATTCATTCTATCGTATACGCGAGTTTCATGGATAACGCATTTTTGATACCTTTATTCAAGGATGGTAAAGGGTTGATATTAAACAATCAAACAGATGTATAATGATAAAAATATGAGCACCATTTATTTTTTTTAACTATTTTTTATAGATAATAATTGGAGAATCAATTTCTGATACATATTCTACCCGAGAAAATATAATTCATATTAGTTTAGATAATAATGGCGACAATAACAAATGGCTATTAAATTTAAATTTTGAAGTAATAATATATATATATATATATATTGTAATAGTTTGGTTTATTTTAAATACAAAATATTGTATTCTATGAATAGTCATGAATAACTATCCTAAGGCTGAATTTATCGTTTGGCAGAGTTTTTTTTTAAAGCTAAAAAGATAGTCTCCGTCTCCTCCGAAGTGGAAAACCTAAAAATTTGTAAAGTATTCTCGGAGCTAGACAAATATTGGCCAAGAGTGAGTTAGCTAATCAAGAGCTAAGAGAATAATATTAAATCAAGAAAGGCATGAAGAATAGAGAAATATGTTAAGTTAAGTTCCTTAACAACAAGAATTCAACTCTACCCCTTTATATTTTTAATGAAAAAAATTCCGGCAATGTGTTATTTCTTTAAAATTAAAATTTGATCTTACCGGTGTTGTATTCCTGCATGTTTGTAATGACTATCTTATGAATTGTAGATAATCTTGCCATTAAAACCTTAAGATTTATAATTCATATAGGAAATTTATGGAAAAACGAATATAAATTATATTAGGTTCAAAATTTCGTGGTGAAATTGTCTGAAATGTATAGGGTAGGTATTTCAAACAAGATAGAATACATTTCCTGTAAAATCAAATTTTTAAATTTAAAAAAAAAATAGCGCTCAAAAAAATAATTTAAAGTGGGAAAAATAACACATCGCCGGAAAAAACATATTGAGGAGACTGGAGTAAGGTAAACCTTGGCAACTCGCTTTATCTCATTTTAAAATTAAATAGACTAGAATGTTTAAATTTTATCATAATATAACTTTTATTAGTATGCATCTACATGCTATAAAATTTGAAATAATTATTAAAATCTTATTTAAGAAATAAAATTTTGATGTCAAATTCAAATTTTTTTCAGAGTTTTCATTTTTAATAAATCATTAATATTTAAATTAAATTTTATAGCAAGGTTTTAGCCCTCTCTTATACCTTGATAAAGTTTTATGAATATTTATCTTGTTTGATTATTTCAATCATTAAGTAGCTGGGCTTTATTAAACCTTACACATCAACTATGACAGTTAATATGAAAAAATATATTTCAAAATCTTAGAAAGAAATTTTATGGCTGTGTATGATTGGTATTTAGGATATATACTAAGATATCCTAATATTTCCTTAAGATCCTATTTTTATATGTATAAAATGTTTATTAAATTAACCAAAATTAAGCTTCAATTTTTATATATAAGCTTCAATTTAAAAGTATCATGATATTTTGAACAATAAAATAATAAAATTATTCTACGTTCATTATTAAAAAAAAGCATTTTAATTCATTATGTCCTAAAAAACATATGGCTTAGGAAAGTGGTTTGCCTACTCCGTTATTGGAGCTTGTTAGGCAAAATTTCAACTTTTACAAAAAATAAAATTTTAAAAATATGATTATATTCTCAAAAGTATTTTCAAGGCATCTTTATAGAGTATTGATATTAGCCGAATTTGCAAAAAATCGGCTTGACTAGCGTCGTCTCCCCTACACTTAAAATATATTTTTTTTGAATTAAAATAATATAAAATAAAAATAATTTTTCAATTGTATTAATTATTATTTATTTTACTAGGGCATAAATGGTGTATATTTAAATAAATTGAAAATTACGCCTTTTCAATCTTATGAATTAAAGAATAGAGACTTAATTTATTTCTCTAAGCCCTTCCTTTACAGGTAAATTTTATCTCATTGTGATGCTGGTGACAACTTGCTTATTTTATTATTTTTTAAAATATAGATTTACCACTGATCCGTTCAAATTTGCATTAGCTTTAGAAGGATCCCTCGATGAATCTTCCCCTAAATTTGACATGGATGATTATATAAAAAATATAAAGTCTGATGAAATACAAGTACAAGAGCAAGCAAAATCGATGTCAACATCGTCAAAATCAGAGAAACATTTACTCAATGAATCAAATGCCGATGAAAATTTCCCGGTAACCAAAAAAATTAAGTTAATGAAAGATCCCCAAGTATCCATAAATGACTCCCAATCTGGTAAAAATTGTCAAGAATCTAGCACTGAAGACAGCAAATTCGATAAAATAACCATAATCCCTGACGATTGTTTGAAAAGATACATTAAATCTCATCCTATTCTGATACGTTCGGATCAAGCTCAAACAGTAATCAAAAGTCTGACCGATTCTGCCCAAAATATTCAACCTAAGTCAATTTTATTAGAAAAGCTTTCCTGCTGCGTCCAAGCTCGCCTTAAATTTTGTAATTAATTTTCAGAAATGCAGCTGAGGTATTTTAGTATTTTTTTAAATGATAGATTTTGAATGGAATAATCAAGTGTATATTCATTCTTTTGGTTTAAAAATGACATTCTTTTCAGACAGTTAGTAAAAATTCTAAAAAAGAAAAAGATTAAGGTCGAACTTGGACACATTTTTCATTTTTATAACTTAATCATTTGTCTTGAAGAATATAATTAGTTTTCATTTACCCAATTAAGCTCACCAGCCAATTTAGTCGGTCTATTGAAATCTGAACTATTGGCCAAGGATGAGCTGATAACTATCATGGCAAAGACATTTAATCTCAGAAAAGTTATATTATTTTTTGAAATAATAAATTATTTGATATTTTATAAGCAAACTGAATTGTATACTAAAGAATAGGATTAATTATATTTCAAATATACATTTTAACAGTTTAAGACTAAACAATCTACTTTTTAAAAGAACTTTAGGAATCGAGTTATAATGTCAAATTAAAATATATAACAAAAATTGAATGAATGACTACTATAATAGATATAGTATATTAATGCTATCGGCAAAGTGTTTAACAAGACAATCCATGTATTGCCCTGATTATTATTTTTAGTGTACAAATTTAAAATTACTTCAAAGCCAAGTTGCCTTAAATTTATAGGATAACTCGATTATTACCACATATACTAGAACACATTTCCGAGAAAATCGAATTTTAAAATTATAAAAAAACGCTCCCAACTAATTATTTTTGGCCATTTTTCAAATTTAAAATATTTAGGTTTAGCGCCCTTTTTTTATATTCAAAAAATCTGATATGGCCAGAAATGTTTTTCAACATGTGTAAAGGGAAATACTTACCCTATAAATTTCAGACAATTTTAGAGATATATTACACATATTGTCTGGTTACTCACATTACTGCTAACATAAATATGCCAATTTTAAAAATAAAATTGAACACGTATTAGGAAATAATGGAGAAGGAAAAGTTAGAATGGGAAATGAAAAATAAAAAGAACTACGAAATGCTTCTTGAAGCCAAGGAGATCCAAATTACCAATCTAACTACAAAATTGACGATGAATCAGAAGGATGAAATTGTGACGAAAGGAGAATTGGGTGGGATAACCGAGATGTTGCCCCAATCAAAGAATTTAGGTTTGAAAATTAAAGAACATTTTTTATAATTCATCGGGGAAATAAGGGAATTTCATTTTAGAAGGGATTATATTTTGAAGGAGCGCCATTCATTACCTTCTTCTAAAGATAAAGAATAAGGGTAACGCATTTGTTTTTTTTTAAGTTTAGGCGAAAAACGTTATACTCGTTACTTTATATTTTTTCTTAAAAAATATCAACAAAAAGAAAATATTTTATTGTACTATAAAATTACTTTATTTATTTTTTAATTCTCAATATAAATAATTTAAGTCGAGTTTTAATTCATATCAACTTCATTTTTATTTTGAATTCTCGTTGTTAAATTTACAGTTAAATTAATATTTAATCAAAATTCAAAGTAAATGTTAATAATTATATTATGATTCTATTTTTTATTTTAAGAATATTACGTCCATATTACATACTTCTTCAGCTTAAGAAGATTTAACCCTACCCTTGCCCCAATTTGAAACATATTTTACACCAATAAAGAAAATTAAGGGTACCAAGTCTATACTTTGTAAAGTAAATTATGTCAACGCAAATATTTCAGCCTCAATGTCCAACAGTTCAAACTTAAAAAAGCATTTGAAGGTAAAAAGATGAATATATCATTATTTTAAATATGACTTTAAGAATAGAATAATATTCTTTCATAATATTTTGAAAAGCATAATCATGAAATTAAAATATAAGCAATTAAATTATACTATAGTATAAAGTTGGGAACCTATTAATTTGTGTCTCACTCTCACGATAACTATCAAAATAAAGATAATTCTTTAAATATTTTTATCCCGAAAATTTTATTTATTAAATATAATACAACTCTCCTATCCTCTTCGCCAATTGAACGTGTGTTTAAAACGGCGAAAGCTGTGTTGAGCACTAAGAGCTCTTTCTTATTTGTCTGATCAAAATTTTGAAAATCAACTGTTGCTAAAAAAATAAATAAAAAATTGTTACATAAAGATGTTATATTACATTATATTATTTTTGTATAATTTTATTTATATTATAATAATATATATGAAAATATTTTTTTTTTATAAATAGATCTTATCTTATTGTATAGTTATTTTCTTATATATAATATATTGTTGGAAAAAAACAAATATTTTATATAATATTTAATCTTTTTAAGTAACAAATAGCCCGTTACTTTATTGATTAGTCGGTAACGCGCGTTTTTTTTGGAAAAGGTCGAGTAACGGTAACGCGTTCCTTTTTTCAGATGTAACGAGTAAAGGTAATGCGTTTCTTTCTCGTAACGTTAACAGCACTATTTATATGTGTATTTTTTTAAATTTTTTATTATCGCACTATTTTTTCTGGAACCTTGTTTGGTTGGCCATTTTGGTCATATACCAAACAGAGACCGATTTATGAGCAGCCATTCAACCAGGAGTAATATGGATCCGGGGCTGGTTCGGACCTAGTTTAAAAAATTGTTTTGATTAAGTTCCTGATATCCAAATTTCCTCTAAATAGAGTTTAAAATGCCTGAACCCGAATTTTTATGTCAGTCAAATCTCGTATCACTGGTATATTTATTAAGAACTCAAAGGTTCGTGGTCAGTTTGATAAAATCAGAATATTAAAATGGAAAAAAATGAGGGAAATATGTCTCTAAGGTCCCAGCTCCTACAGAGAATATTGATGTCTTTTCCCCCAATGTTCCCTTTTTTTGCCCGAAGGGTTTTTCTGGGGGTATTTTTACTAATTTTATATTTTCTGAGGTTATTTTTATTCTTTGAATATTTTTTTCCGATTTTTTTCCCCAAGTATTTATCATCCTATTACTGAAGAGAATCATTTTATCACTTCAATTTAATTCCGAAAGTCCTCAAATCTATTTTTGATCATTTTATATGAAATAAAAATGTCCAAATTAAATTGTATACTTTTTTTAAAAAATAATTGCTAAACATGTATTTATATATATTTTTTTACTAAACTAAACAAGAGAGCCAAAAAATGGAAGAGCTTGTAGGCAACAAGATTCAGCTCGAGATAGACCCGGAAGAAAGGGAAGAATATCTTAAAAATTTTGAAACATCGATGAATGCCGAGGCGGTAGTTCAAAAGGAGGAGATGCGCGAAAAAATTAGGAATGTGATTGAAAACGATTTTCAATGCGTAATCTGCAAAGAAACTATAATCATGGTAGAAATAAAATATATAAACATCAATTTTTTTATCTAACAAATAGGTTTTATGAAGGTGTAAAAATAATAATAAATATATATTTTGAAATTCTTTACCTTAAACTATATTTTCAATTATAATGGTAAAATATATTTTTTTTAAAAAAGGCAACAGCGATGAATTGTTCTCATACATTCTGCAATGTATGCCTAGATACCTGGCTTAGAACCAAAAAAGAATGCCCAGTGTGCAGAGAAGGTTTCTCTTACAAATGCAGTGTCCTGGTATTAGATAATTTCCTGGATAACTTGGGGGAAGATATGTTTGGGGAAGGATGGAAGGATAAAAGAAATTCACTCAAAATATTGCATGAACAGAAGGCAATGGATATCAATGACACCGGATCTGTCATGAGAGGTAAAAAAATTTTTTAATGGTTATAATATTCAATTTATAATATGTCAATTTGCTATAAAATATGAAATATATACTAACTCTACTCAAAATACGACGACCTTAATTTTTTGGGGCATCTTGGTTGAAATTTAAACAAAATATATAAATTCACAAATTTTTTCCCAAATTATATTTAATTCATATATACCATAGTCCGCATTCTTTATCTTTATCTCACCAATTAGAAAAGTTTTATAGTACATAGTGCAGTAATTTTATTACAAGGTTATGAACCACATTTAATCGGGTGGCCTTTCCCAATTGTTATTTTATTTTCCGAATCCTTTGAAATTACACTATTATGGGTAATTGAGACGAAGATAGTTAGCCGCTCTACACTGGTTCCTTGCTAAGTATTCTACATCTCCGATATAATCTGACATTGGAGCATTCTTACCATGTTTCATTTTTTTAAAGCCAACTTCCGCGTCAATAAAACTAGGCAGGCTTTCCACATTTACATTTAATAAGTCATTCATGTAGTTTTGCCATAATAATTTTATCTTACTTTCATCGATCTCTATATTTTTCATAAAAAAATAGACTCATGTTACTTATTTTTTTACCTGCTTAAAGGCCTTTAAAAATGTACCATCTGATATTCGAAGCTCACATTCTCCTGCCATTTTAGTCTTTTCATAATTATGCCTTTAATTGGTTTTGTCTTTTAGTTTAGTAGATTCGACCTATATATCATAGAAGCATTTTATTCTCCCTGTAGAACCCCTAATAACTTAGCCCTATTTCTCTCTAAATTGTAAACAATCATTAAAAGTATTATTTCTCATATTTACTTAATTTTTTACAATTGTTAGCTAATTCATAAAAACTTTTCTCTTCCCATGTAAACTATTGTAAAACTACGATTTGTATTGTTCGCCACCCTTCTTATTCTCCATATTTTTATACCAGATTTAAAATAAGATAGTGTGCGACTAATAATGCAGAGGCTTAATTTATGCTGGGAAATGCTACCCTCATCAGAAAATATTTTATTATTTTTGACACATTTCTAAGCCTACCAGAATGGAATCAACTGCACTTGACAAACCTTCCTAATTTTAAAAGTTATTAAGTGTTCTTTACTTTTCTTAGATATTGTATTGCATAGTATGAATTTTACCAAGTTTTAAATTCTAATATTCACATTTCCCCTCTTACGAAGGCTTAAGCGATATCCTATATGAATACATTGACACCTTTCAGCTATCTAATGCGTGACGCGTTAACTCCTTTTCTAAGAAAGTTTATTAGGTGGAATTACATTTACTTCGGAAAGCTGATATCAAAGGGTTTTCCTATTTCTACCTATTTGTGGAGATAGGTCATACTAAGATTAGAGATCTATAAATTTTGGCCTGGCCTTACCCTACCTAAACGGGCTCGGCCTATTTTAAAAATTAATTTCGGACTAAACTGGATTGGGCCTAATATTTTTTTTAAATAATTCTGGTCGGACACCGGTCTTAAATTTTTAAATATGATATTATTCAATTTTGTGAAATATAAAAATATTTTAAAATTATAGAGTCCAACTCCAGACTCCCTGATTCGACTCTTGCTAAAATAATTAATATAGTTCCATGCTATTCTTATCATTTTTTGTACCAGACCCGTTTTATCGTGCTTCCTTGGATACCAACATATATCAAGTTCAAGCTTGATTAAAATCTTATATTCCTGGTACCCTTTCGGAAAATTAAATTTTGAGCTATTTTTTCCCTTTCTTTTTAAATAATCTATTCAACGCCTGCTCTTTCCTCTTTATTTCTTGTCTTATTTCTTTTTACCACTCTATCAATATTATAATACATATAATAATTAGAAGCCTATCACCGTTTTTCTAAACAAAATATGAAAATAATGAAATATGAATTATACAAAATAGTTAATTCTTTTATAAAAGAGTAGAATAAAAAATATGAATATGTATGTTGAGGAAGGGGGGGGGGGTGTTAAACTAATCTTAAATTATAAAATCATAAAGAATGCCTTTTTAATTTTCTTGTAAGGGTTCATCATGCCGGACCATATTTTAGTATGGAATACTTACTCTGTGAATATTAGACAATATTGAGCCGTGAACTTTAAAACCAGGATAAATTTATGTAAATTTATATGTAAATTTTTTTGTAAAAATTAAAAAGAAATTAACTAACACACGTTATAAATGTTTATGCCATAACCTCTGTTTATAAAGCATAGCTATGAATTTTGTAAACCTCGACTACATATACAAAACCTTTCGCAAAATAAATATTTATATGTATTAGAAAGAGAAGTGTGCCTTAGATTAGCGAATTTTTAATTGTTCGATATTTTATAAAAATAATGATAGGTGGGTGGGGGGGGGCGTGGATTTTTTTAGAAAAAAAAATTTCTAACTTATTAAGTTCTTTGAATTTAAAAATTTAATAAAATTAATGAAATTTCAGGTAAATTTGCAAATTTTAGTAAAATTCAAGAAATTTTAGAAAAATAAACAAAATTCACCCATTCACTATTTTTATGAATCATATTCGTAACTTAAGATTTATTGTGTAGTAATTATTATATATGAATATGAAGATTTTATTTTATGACATATGATTCTCTTGCGCTGATTTATTTATATATTTTTTAGAGAGGAAATCGTCACTATTTCCTGAACCTTAACTGAATTTAAACCGTCTAAATAATTATCATCCTAACTTTAAGAGAAACTGTTGGTATATCGGTTTGAGCTTTTCGATATTTTTTTAAAAGATTATTTATCCTTCAATTTTGTTTGGTCAGTATGAGCAATCATTTAAGTATTTTATTCTCCTTATATATTTAATTTGACAGAAATAATGAATCCTGGAATACTTCACATTAATATTTATTACGAAGCGTATTTGACAAATATCCAAAATTGTATATTTAGACGCCATAATTTATTTTTATTAAAAATATATTTTACAATAAAAAGATTATTTCTATTATCATTATTTTCTGAATTAGAACACATTGCTCTTAAAATTACTAATGAATAGTCAAAACGTAGGTAATTTTTTATCACTTTGAGACCACCCATACGGTCATATGAGAGATATTCCAGGGAATAACCCATCGGAGAAAAGAAAATTGCCGAATATGACAAAATGGCCTGAAAAAAATATCATTTCATAAGAAAATGTCTTATTAAGTTCGATACCTTTGCATTTAAATAAAATACAAAAATAATATGGTCAGAACCGCTGTTAAAATGTTCACATTTTTTCCGAACCTATAAATCCCTTAAAAAAATTATATTATATATTTTTAAGAATACTATATTATTCGGTTATAATAATTAATATAGATTGATTATATTTTGTGACACTTGATACTCATGTGACTACTATATTTACTTATTAAAGAGGTAAACTAAAGAATCTAATCGAATAGTTAAACTAATTTTAACCTATAATTATTTAACCGAAAACAGAACTGTTTTAATAAATGTTATCCAAACTTGAGGCCCTATAAAAAAAGTCGGCTTATCAGTTTGCAAATTATAATATTTTTTAAAAGATTATTATAAATCAATTATGATTTGTCAGCTTGTGTCATCATTCTAACTATTTCTAAATTTAGCATTTTAAGGGTGCCAGCTTTTCTAGTCACCGTATAGTATTTTCAACATAAAAATTTTCTTTCCCCTTATACCTACAATTTTTACTGAATACAATCGTGAAAATAAATATGACGTCAATATTTTTTGGAAAATAATTATTATGTAAGATTTAATTTTTTTGGAGAAAGACACCAATATTTTTGTTATCTCAATAATTAAATTTCCCAGTTAAATAAGGATTTAATTGGCAATATTCTAAAATTTAAAGGAAACCAAGATTCTTTTTTTCAAGGTAATAAAATAGTATTTCTCAAATTAAATCTATATTTTACCATAATTTAAATTATACAAAATAAAAAATTATAAAATATGTTGTGGAAACCTTCGGCAAACATTCCCAATTTAAATGATTTAATTAGCTATCTGAACAAATAATTGTTAATTGCGCCATGTTGAAAAATTTGACTCCTACCGATACGCGTCTTAAACTCATTTTTCAATCCGTATCTCTAATCCTACTGATTATAAGCATAATAGGTAATGGGACAGGATTATATGTTGCCATGAAAGACAAACATTTATACATTACAGTGCAATTAAGCTGAGCATTTTATGCAGTTAATATCGTAAATGGCTTCTTTATGCTTCTCTATCCTATCTTGGATATCATGGCAGAATATCATATGACTAATTTTTGGTTAAGGAGACCTTGGAATGAATATCTGTCAAGTTATCATCTTCCTTTGGCTAAAACATTTGTCAATTTTTCTTTCATGATATACCTTTTGTTTGCTTTATCGCAGATGATTGCCACAGTGCATCCTCATTTATATAGGAAATATATTACTGTATTTAGAATGAGAATATTTTTGTGCGTAAGTTTTTTTTATATCATGCGGTGGTTCATACCTTCGGGATGGTGGTTTGATAATATTAAACTCAATTATATATGCGAGCCCGATAATTTTACAATCTATAATAGGCAATTTGCATTTTACTCCCCCGTCGCTAAAAAGCGCTGGATTATATATGGATTTTTTCGGGAGTTTTTCACAAAATTTTTGCCCGTTTGCACTATATTAATTTTTAACTATTATTCCCTCAAAGGTCAAAAGTCTTTATTAAATTGGAGAATGAAACACATGACTAAACAGGTTTATCTTCCTATCGCATCAAATGCATCCAGAGGGGTAGCAAATAACGGGATAAAAAATGATAATATTATTCAAAAAGAGGAACCATCAAAGGTTTCTGAAATTATGGAATCAGTAGCCGATTCTAGTAACATTAAAGGTAATAAGATGATTACTATAAACAGTCTAATCAATACACATTTGGTTTACAATCTAAACATGAAAGCAAATATGCAGAGCAAACCTACCAACAGTTTGGATAAGAGACGCAAGGAATACAACATAGGCCTTAGCATGCTATTTATCTTGTTGGTAGAATTTATAATTTTTTTGCTACCCGTTTCGATCTATATCATGACCGTAGACTTTTACGATCATTTTCTATCAACCATCGATTTTGATATCGCTTTCGCTACCTGCACACTCCTAGAGTATATGTACATAACTTTAACCTTCTACCTCAATGTAATTATAAATCCGAATTATAGAAAAAAAGTGTCTAAAGTTATCAAACTTTCTATATTGTATAAATATTCTCGTAAACTTATTGACAATGTGTTAAAAAACATCAAAAAATTTATCCCCAATAATAAGATTTTGCCATGAACTTACTCCTTATTTATACATCATATTACCATTATATCAAAATTGTTAAAATTATTATTATAGATAATACATTTAATGTTGTATTAATATGAAATTATTGTCTAATGTGATTGTTAATGTCTATAATTAAAATAAATAGCTTATGACATAATATTAATTGATTTAAAAAAAAAATAAGATTAACAAGTATCAATGATAAATAATACAGGATGGGGGTTACAGATATTTTTTAAAAAGCTATAAGATATTGTAAATAAAAAAAATAGTTATTAAATTCATCTTTCTAAAATCAAGGGATTATGTTAAAAATTACCTTTCCCAAAACATAGCTAGTTCACATTATTTTTATGACGATTTTAAAAAAGGAAATTATCAATGAAGTGAGGCTTTAATTTAGAAAATTAAATATATAAAATTACCTATACTTTGAATCTACTCTTTAATTAATAATTTACCATATACTATATATTTTTGCGCATATTTAAAATAATTTAATACGTTCTAATTCTACATTTTTATAAAGTATTATTAATTTATAGAATTTTTAAGAAACTGAATAAAATGGTCATCCTCAACATAAGAGAAGGAATATTTGCCAGGTCCTTATCTCATTTTATTTTTGAGTTAAGTGGGTTTCATCTAAAGGTATACGATGCTAATATATTTTTTTCCTTCATCTATTTATAAAATAAGGGTTTGAATAAAATTCTAAAAAGGCTTTCTTATGCTTTTTATCTAATTGAACATGAAGAGGGGATGGACGTAGTTAGAGTTACAGAGTTTCTGTAAAAAAAATTCCTATTAATAAAAAATCTTAGTAGAACTGGAATTTAGAACTTCTTCTAGTTCTACATCATTATCTTATTTAAACAATTACATATTTTTCACTTTGGTAAAATGATCGTTTTAAAAAATCAATTGGAATTAAACGGACAATATGTTAACTTTTTCTCTAACCCGGGCTACATTTAATATTTAAATAAATAAATTATGGATTTAATTTGACATTATATGATATTTAATTTTTTGGGGGAACCACATCAATATAATTGTCGTCAAAATAATTAAATTTTCTCTTTTGAATGAAAATTTGATTGGCAATATGTTAAAACTTAAAAGAAACTAAGATTTTTTTTCAAGGTAATAATTATTTCAAATTAGACTTATATTTTACCATAATTTTAATTATATAAAATAAATAATACCAAAAAAAACAATTAAACAATATGTTGTGGATTATTCCAACAAGCATGCCCAACCTGAATGATTTAATTAGCTATCAGAACAAATTTTATAATGCGTTGAAAAAGGAGAATAGCGTAATTAATTACGGCACCTGGAAAAATTTGACTCTACCTATGCGCGTTTTAAATTTATTGTTCAATACATTATAATCATAATAGGTAATAGGACAAGACTATATAATGCTTGCGATGAAAGACAAACCTTCATTTAATTCTGTACAATTGAGTCGAGCATTCTATGCAGTTAACATGGTAAATTGTTTCTTTATGTTTTTATATCCTATATTGGATACCGTGTCATCATGTGGCTACTTTTTGGTTATAGAGACCTATGAAGGAAATCTATCAAGTTATCATTTTCCTTTGGCCAAAACTTTGTCAATCTATATTTTATGATATGCCTTTTATTAACTTTATCGCAGATGGCAATCTTGCATTCACATTTATACAACCGTCATCACTGGTTTATTCCTCTTTTTACGTTAAAGTTAATAAATTTAATGAATTATATTTTTGATATTTAAGTCACAACCTTAATGAAACATCTAAAACTTCGTATTTATAAGTTGCAAAAGTATACTCTATTTATAAAGTAGTCTATTGTGAGATAAATTGAGAGACCAACTTCTTGGGGTCGATAGATAGGATAAATTAATATTTGAAAAAAGTTATCAAATTGGTCGTTGTTTAATAAATGGCTCAAGTATATCGTAATTAACCTGGGTTTTACTGATCTATTACTGATAAGCCAGCGGGTGATTTGATGTCAAAAATGACCGAATCTTAAATGAGTAAGTGATATCTGATATATAATACCTATCAACAACTGATGTATCTAATATTCCCTTACTATTATTAAAAATGAGGCCAAAGATTCACATTATTTACTAATAAGGTAGATAGATTTCTTATATTTGAATCTAAACTTTAAAATCGTTTTTTTAATTAAGGTATTCAACAATAAAAACTTCCGTTCTCCTTATAAATGTAATTTGGCCCAAGACAATCTTGAAAATAAATATGACATTCAACAGCATTTTTTTTGTAAAATTATTTATTATACGGAAATTTAATTTTTTGGAACGACACCAATATATTATTGTTATCTCAAAAAATTTTCCATTTTGAATGAGATTTTAATTTAAATATAAAATGTAAAGGAACTAAGATTTTTTTTTCAAGGGAATAACCGATTCAAATTAAATTAATATTTTATTTTACTATAATTTAATTATATATATAATACCAAAATACAATTAAACAATATATTATGGAAATTTCCAGCAAAAATGATTTAATTATCTAGAACAAATTTCACAATGACGAAAAAAAGAAAATATTATTAATTGTGTCATGGTGGGGAAATTTTTAACTCATATTGACATGCATCTAAATTATTTTTCAATATATATCCCCTATCTTGCTTATAATAAGCAAAATAGAAAATGGGACAGGAAATATATTGCGGATACACCTTTATACTTTAAAATGATACAATTGAATAGCATTCTATGTAACTAACAGTGTTAATTGCATCTTTTGCTCCTCTATACCTATCTTGGATATCGTGACAGTAATATTTAATCAGTATTCACATTTTTCGAATCTTTAATCTTAGAAACCCTAGGTGGCAGAATATCAATTAGGTACTTTTGATTGAATAGACCTTGGAAAGAATCCTTTATCCAAAACTTTTGCAAATGATTTTTTTATACCATTCACTTTATTGTAGATGATGAACACTATGCACCCACATTTATAATAGTCGCTATACTATGAGCAGAAATCTGCAAAGTGTGTTAATTTTATAAAAAATTTCGCCGATTTGGCCGGGCAATCCGTACATGAACAATTTTTTGATTTGGATGAAAATAAATTAAAATATGCCTATTTTTTTTCTATTGTAAAAACTGTCTAACCTAAAATACTGAATTTATATATGATATTAAATAGAGATAAGGCCTTAATAGACATTGGGAAAAAATATAGTTATAGATTAATTAAAAATTTGATGGCCGAAAATTTGTACAACAGGATTTAACAGACCAATAGTAATTTTTCGTAAAATTTTAACGGGTCGGGAAATTAGGAAAAGTAATTTTGGGATTTTAACCGGCGGTCTATGGAAACGAGCTGGGCTTTGCAGATCTCTAAGTGAGAATATTGTAATGCTTAAGCATATTTCTTGCCTCATGATGTAGTTTATGTCTTCGGGATATTTATCATATTAAGCTCAACTCGATTATATAGGCGAACTCGATAATTTCCGAATCTATATTTGGTAATTCGCTATTTACCCTATCACCAAAAAGTTCTTGATTATATATGGATAGAATGCCATAACTAAATCTTAAAGTTTGTGGAAGTTTTAAATGTATAAATTAATGTGATAATCGTTTTTAACTAAAACATGCTCCACACCTTTTAATTTTAAGATTATTTTGCTATTGTGAAGAATGATAAAGGTTTGTATGTTTTTTATATGCTAAAAGAATTGTAGGTAGAGAACGGAGAGCATGCGAGCCTTAAAAACAAACATCAATAAAATAAAAACTACTTGAATAAAATCTCATTTTATTCCATATTAATTTTTGCAAAAATAAATTTTGGGAAAGTAGGGCTACACCCTGGGAGAGATGAGCTTCCCATGAGGAGCTTTTGAGCTGCAAAAATATTATGTATATTATTGCAACTACTTTATTGATAAAAATGAACCATAAGGGAAAATAATCATAAAAAATCAGTGAAATTTGTTGACAATTTAAACAAATATAGGATCCATGTGCTCAAAATGAGCACTTACGTGAGACAAAGACCCACAAAATTTTAGAGGCATTTATTAGATAGTGGTATAATTTAGCTTCTTGTTCTTTCTTGAATATTTATCTTGATCAAAATCTTGTTTCATATCTTGATTTATATTTATTTTTTTACTGTTGCATAACCTACGTTTGTTTTCTTCATAAAGGCTAGCAAGAATGAATTTTTATTAAATATATTAATAATTTCACCATTTTTATTTTTTTTCTAATATAATTACTTATTCAAAAATTATGTGTCATTAGAAATGAAAGGTTTTCTTTTATTGAGATTTAGTAATATAATATTATATATAATATAATCTACACTTAATAATATAGCAGAAAGAAATGACGATGTAATAACTATAGACGATTTAGAGAACGATAGCTATATATTTAATCCCGAAATTGACAATGGCAGTCCTAGTACATCTCAATGGGCATCCAGTGACATGGAAGGTTTGAAAAATAAAAGTTTATTTTGGTTAGTTAAGTTGTGCAAAAAGATTAGAACAAACATTTTCAAAATTTATTTATTTAATAGAATGCCTCCTGAATGATAATATATAATGGTATCTAATCTAAGTCAATTGTATATCTTACCAATGTTAAAGTATTAATTCAATTAATTCGTTGCGCAAAAATGGATATATAAACTTGTTTACTTGTTCACTCAATAAATAGGAAAAATTACCTGTATGTCCCTTATTATGGTTTAGGCAGAAGGCGTTTCTAAGAAATTGGGAGGGATATATATCCCTCAATAATAAAACACACAATAAAATGATTCATTATTGGTTGTTAAATAATGTTTTTTTAATGTAGGGGAGATCAGGACTAGTTGGCATAAATGTCTTGTTAAATTGTCGGATTTTATTTTACAACAAATAATGATTAGAAGTTCAAATTTAGTTCTATAATAGAATTCTATAATATGGAATATTGAGGCATTAAATATTTTATATTCCTGAGCTATTTATTAAAAAAAATTTTCATAAAATATGTATTTGGGTCAAAAGGAAAAGATTTATACATAACGATATTAAAGATTGTATTAAAATATGGGAATTTTAAAAATAATAAAATTGACATTATTGGGAAAGTTTTAATCATCATATCATGTTTAAATATATTTTTAGAAGTGGTATTATTAAAGGGCTAAGAGAATCAGTACGATCAATTAAATTGTGTGATTTATAAATTATAATATATTTATTTAGATAATTTAGAATTAATATTTATTTGTTACTTATATTAAATTAATTATTATGATGATGCAATAGATTTAGGATTGAGTAAAAGTTATTTTTAATTTTGCACATTTTTTAAATAATTCAAATAAATTTCATATTTTATCATTTTTATATTAATTATTTATATATGTATATATGTGATATAAAATTATGTCAATAAAATATTGAGCGCGAATAAAAATATTAGCCATTTTCTAGGAGACCTAATAAATCACTTGATTATACGAGCCCCTGGTTTGAGGCTTGTTGGAAAAAAATCTAAAATATTTTAAAAAATTTATCAAAAAATTATATATAATGTTAGGTAGGTACAATAATTTGACTTGTCTTAGTACTTAGATTATTTTTTAAATATAATAAGACAATTGAAAAAGTTGATTTCCCTGGACTTTACATTAAAGTTGGGTTTGTAAAAGTCCATTTAATGAATTTTTATAAAACTAATTATGATAAATTGAACCACTCAATAGTATTTTTTATTGTAATCTATATGTTAGATATATGTATATATATGTTTTTGCAATAATATTAAAATAAATGTGCTTCTATGTACATGATTCTAATAAATTGCATGCAGAAGGGTTTGAAACTGTTATAAAATATTCAACCCGAACCCATTTTTTTTGCAACCTCAACTATAAACTCGATTTTTATCTCAAGCCCAAAAATTCGCTACTCTGTTAGCTTTTTGGGAAGAACCAGCCCTGTCTTACGACATAGAAAGTCCATGAAAATAAATATAATCATTTCAAAATTTAGATATACATCCTTTCTTTGCTACCAATTTCTCAGATTTCGGCACTCGAACTTCTATATCATCCACTCCATCGGTCACATCGCTTACATTCACCCCATCAGTCCCATCTATTGCAGCGGCTTCATCAATAATATCTACATCAATATCATCAATGACATCGAACATATCTATAGCATGGACTTCATCTATTCAATCTTCATCAATCCCAGTGTGTATAAGATTTAATCTATTTTCTTCGGATAGCGATAGTGATACTTAAATAACAATTTTTAAATCTTTTTTTTCAAAACTACAGCCAATTAAATCAACACCTTGAAAAATTTAACGTTATATTTTAATGTTCATATTATATTTATTATGTATAAAAATGTTAAATATTTTCGTATAATTTTAATGTTTTTTATTTATTATTTTACAAGAATTAGAAATTTTTTTCCCCCTTTTTATACAATTAAATAAATCTTTGAATTTTTAATTATTTAAGAACAGTGTTGCATACTTTGATAGAGTTAAGTCAATTAATATGCTATTAAAAAATGCAACGAATAACGGTACCACTTTAATATTATAATTAATTCTTCTACTGAAACAAATGTTATAAGGAAGTTAAATTGCTCAAATTTCAGTATAAAATTGGAAGCAATATATTTCTTAATCTTAATATTGTAATATAATTAAATATGAAATTTAATGATAAAAAAACCAAATAATTTAAAAATTTTATATATCATTCACATGGGGTTAGAGATTCAATAATTTTTATTTAGAAACTATAAAATATTTAATAAAGATTTTAGAGAATATAAAATAAAATAATAAAAATTATTACTTATCAAAATTGATAATAATTTTGTTCATTATAAAATATCATGTAAGCTTTATTCAATATATTAATATAACAACATTTTAATATCATTTAGAGTGCACATTCTTTAAGAATAATAGGGATTTCAATAAGTTGTATGTTATTTTGTTTTTGAAAAGTAACGGGAATAAGTTACTTTTTGCAAATAACGAGTAATAATAAGACATATAAAAATATTGGAAATTAAATAGGGCATCAGATTGTAGAGCAATATGATGACCTATAGATCTCACGTCGAACTTTTATTTTGGAAAACACATCAGAGGATCACTGGATACAATAGATTGTTTACAGTGGAGACTTTTTATGAACTCCAAGCTCTCAGGTCCCAAAGATTAATTAACAATATGTTTGATTTTTTTATTTATTAATTCATAATCCACGTTAGGACCCGAAATAAAAAACAGAGAAAAACGATTTAAACTGGATTTAACCAAAAAATCTTATGACTTTAAGAATTAATATTCTTTCCTTCCATTATTCAAAATTTGAAGAGACACCACTAATCATAGAGTTAGCTGTGGGCAGAGGTCATAAGCCTAGAGAAATGGTAATTATAAGGATGAGGACCATCGATACTGTGGACTTTTAATAAACATTAAAAGTATATGCATAAATGGAGAGGGGGGGGGTTGGAGAGATTACGTCTCTATTTTCCAGGAAGCAAGGTTAGGTTACTGAGGAGAGTAGAAGTAGAGAATAAAAAAATATTTTCTAGATCTGGGCCGTGGCTTAAAGATTACTTTATCTCAAAAAGACGTTGATTGAATACAAGTTGGTAAATAAATAATAATGTCGCATTCAACGATGTCATTTGTAGGACTAATCATTTCCAAAGTTATAAGAAGCTCTAAGTTAGAATTTAAAATTGCTTAGAGTCATTCACTTATAATCTAATTTAAAATGACGAACCTATACATGGGAAAATTGGGTGAGGAAGTTTGGATTTGTGCAGCTTAGGTTTTGTAGAATATTTGAATGTGTAAAATGTGGAGGAAGAGTAAATGAGAATTAAATTTCACAATTTATAGTAAACATCTTTTTATATAAATGCCTAAATTTATGATAATTTTAACTACATTCGAATTCGCTGAATACAATCTTTGTGATATTTCTAAATTTTAGATAAATTGTGCAAGAAATTAATATTTTGAACATTTTGAATTGCAAATCTTTACGTGCCATCTGGACAATCGTTGAGGATGCAAAATTCTGAGTAGTCGCGTTAAAAAAAGATCGAGTGAGAAGTACTTTCTGGAATATTGGGTATCTTATCATATTAACTATATTTGTGTTTGAATTTTTCAGTCCCATCAGGCTTATTAATCTCCTTTTATAAGGATCGAATCACAATCACAATTTTTTCAAAAACTATAGATCGAAATCAAAGATTAAATTTTTTTTTTTAAAAAAAAGGATCGCGATCACCATTCTTATATGGATTATATGTAAAGTAACGTCAAAAAGTAACATCGTTACTACCGTCGTTACTTTTTTTGAAGAAAACGTCATTCGTTACCTTTTTCTAGAAGTAACGAGTAACGTAACACGTTTCTTTTTTTGAGTAACCGTAACGCAAAACGTTACTTGTTATTTTGTATTTTTTCTTAAAAAATATCAACAAAAAGAAAAACATATTTTATGTATAAAAAATTATTTTTATTTATTTTTTAATTATTAATATAAATAATTTAAGCCGAGTTTTAATTCATTTCAACCACTTCTTTCATTTTTATTTTAATTTCTCGTTGTTAAATTTTCTGTCGAAATTAATATTCAATCAAAATTTTAAGTAAATGTTAATAATGATATTATTATTCTTATAATTTATTTTAAGAATATTATGTAGGTCCATAGTACTTACTTCTTCAGATGAAAATGATTTAACCTTTCTTTGACCCCAATTTGAAATATATTTTAAACCAATAAAGAAAATTAATGATACCAAGTCTACACTATGTAAATGTAAATTATATCCCAACACATATATTTTAACCTCAATGTCCAGCAGTCTAAACTTAAAAAAGCATCAAGGTAAAAAGATGAATTTTACTTTAATAATAAAATAATATTCTTTCATAATAATTTGAAAAGCTTAATCATGGAATTAAAATATAAGTAGGGTTGTGCCGATATTAAATATCGGATCAAATCAGCTCCGATATTTAGCGTTTACCAAAAATATAGGATCGAGCACATACCTGTAAAAACCGATCCGGTCTTTTTACTTTTTTTCTTTTTTTTTGTTATTTTATGTTATATATATTTATTTTACATTATTATAATATTTTCTAAATAATTTTTTTTAAGCAATGCAAATGCAAAACACCCTTTAAATTTTATTTTAAAATAGATTTATAGTATATTAAAAGTTTTTTTCAAAAAAAATAGAAAAGAACACCCAAAGTTTTAATTATTTTAAATTTTTTTTAATAATAACGCCAATTTTATTGTTTATACTTTAAATAAAAGAATTTTTTAAAATATGGTATCTAAATTATGGAAATATTTTACAAAAGACAAAGATAATTTTGCAAAATGCGTTATCTGCGGAATCATCTGAGTTTATCTTCAGTAAGGCAGGGGATATAGATACTCCATATCGCAGAAGCTTATTGCCAGAAATTCTAGAGGCTCTCGTATTTATTTTAAAAAATCTAATATTATAATTTTATATATTAAATACAATTTTATAATTCATATCAACATAAAATGGATATATTATAAAATATATGTTTTTTTAATTATAGTCTTAATTGTAGAAATAAAAAAATTAAATTAAATGCATATTTTGATTTTTTGCAAAAAAATATTGATTTCTTAATTACATTTGGTTCAAAGGAGGGTGGTGAAAAATCAAAATAAATATCAAATCGGTATTAGTAGCGGATCGGTTTTCAATATCGGATGAGATCGGTGAAAAATATGTGAATCGGCACAGCCCTAAAGCAATTTTATACTACAGTATTGGGCTGGGAACCAACATTAAAAACCCAAGATTAATAAAATATTAGTATTGGTTCAAAGTATTATATTGAGTTTTTTATATCTTCTATTTCTTGTTTTAGTATTGCTATTGGTTTGACTATAATTGTTAATAAATTTAAAGAATAAAAAATAGTGATTTTAAAAAACTTTTTTAAAATATGAAATAGTGGCGTAGCCAGGATTTATCCAATAACAAAATTTTACAAAGAATTTAATTATAGATTTTATTTATTATTAAAATCCCATTATTTAACCAGCTGTTTTGAGCACTAAGGGCTTGTTTGTCTGATCAAAATTTTGAAATTAATTGTTGCTAAAAATAAATAAAAAATTGTTACATAAAGATGTTATCTTATAATATATTATTGTTGTATAATTCTATTTATATTATAATTAAATATATTAATATTTTTTTTTACAAAACGATCTTATATATTTTGTATTCCATATTAAATCAACCAAAAAATGTCGATTCTCAACCAGACCCCCTTCGATTTTTTTAAAATTTGTATGTTGGTAGTATATACACTAACTAATAAAAATGTAAAATTTTACTTTTCAAATCGGCTTACTTCATGAGATATGACGTGAAAATTCCAAAATACAGTATATTTAATTTTAAATATCTCAAAAAGTAATTAAGCTGATGGCATGATTTAAATTTTATTAAATAGCTCTAAAATAGCCCTTTAATATTATATAAAAATTATTTTATTAATAAAAAGTCTATTACCAAAAACAGTAAATAGAACCGGAAATAGCTATAAAATAAAAATTGCTCTTTTTTTTTCTTTCAATTTTTTTTACAAATAGACATTATACTTCTTAATATTTGTACAAAATTTTAGATTGGGACCATTACTGGGCCAATAGTTATTACGCTTTAAATATAAATAGTATGGCTTAAATCCTAAATTATACCAAATATATAGTAATTTACGAAACAAATAAAAAGAAAATTCCTTTATGATCGGGCAGATTATATTTTTTTATAAATGTTTGGGCTGTGAGCCCACTAGTAGACATTATGTTATATTTAACATATAAGTTTAGCGATTTTATTTTAGAGAGAAAATAATTGTAAAAATATTTATAACTTTATTTAGCTAATTATTTATATTACATGAATATAAAATGGAAAATTATTAATTTAAATAATATCATACATTAAATTATCTAATGAATTAGAATAACGTTTGACTTTCATTTTTTCCATTAACTTTCATTGATATAAAATTATTCATACCTGGCATAAGTCTGCTGTTTTCGTCAGAATTATAAAATTCTATTACTTTATTTGCAATGTCATCCGGAATTATTCTACTTGGCTTTATGATATTTGGGTTTGACAAAACACCCTTTTCTTCAACTAATTGTTTAGCTGTCCGGGCCATAAAATTTGTGGTTGAAAATTCCTTTTCAATTTTATCAAGAGTCCAAGATTTTGGTAAAACTGTTAAAATTTGTATTTTTTCATTGCGAGAACTTGTAGCAAATTTTTCTTTCAGTTGATTTATGATTTCGGCTTCATCTTTTTTTGCTTGATCCTCTAGATTTATTTTAAAAACTTTTTTAATTTTTCCCTGAATTTTCAAAAATTTATTTACAGGATATTTTTTTCATTTAACCTTTTCTTTTTAATAGGTGTCTCCCCTAAAAATGGCAAAGTTTCATTTAAAGTTGAAATTGAAGTATTAAAATCTGTATAAGAGTCGGGATTATTGCATGGTTGATCAGGTTCAGAATCGCTAAATGTTTCATTAATAGTTGAGGTAGAAGGTAAGTTAGAAATAGAAGGTAATGTGATAGGGATCGTAGAAGTAAAAGGTGAGATCAGATTTGTTGGATATTTTTTTATTTTTTTCCGGCACTACAAATTTTTTGATTAATTGATAAGCTAGAATTCACTTCTATCATCCATTGTAAAACATTTCTAAGATCGTAGCGTACTGAATGAGATTTTATTCTAAAGGGATTACAGCACTTTACTGGAATATAAATATCTTTTCTAGACATTTAAATTTTTTTGGTAAGGAATAAAAGATAGCTATTAATTTTATATAATTATTTTAAATTAAAAATAAATTGGATAATGAATACCGATAATTTAATTTTCTTAGAAAAATGGCTTTATAAAATATCAATATAAATGACGGCTGTTGCTGTTGGAATTATTTTATTTGGTAATTAATTATAAGTAGAAAATAATCTTTATGAAAATATATTTCTGACGACACAAAGATAATTTTTTATTAGGCAAAGAAAATAATCTACATAATTCACTCATAGAATTGCCAGGTCAAAAATCTCGAATTTAAGAAGAAAATTTTTTTTTTGGGGGGGGGGGGGCGAATATAAATCTTAAGATGGGGTTCGGATTTCAGTTTTAATACTATTATTCACAAATATTATCACTTTTGTTAAAAAAATAATTACTCATTTCGTATAATATAGAATCTAAGCCATACTATTTATATTTAAAGCGTAATAACTATTGGCCCAGTAATGGTCTCAATCTAGGATTTTGTACAAATATTAAGATATTTGTTAAAAAAATTTGAAAGAAAAAAAAAGGGCAATTTTTATTTTATAACTATTTCCGGTTTTCTATTTCCGGTTTTTGGTAATAAAATTATTTTCAATATAATAAATTTTATATCATATTAAAGGGCTATTCTAGAGTTATTTAATAAAGTTTAAATTATACCTTTAGCTTAATTACTTTTTGAGATATTTAAAATTAAATTTGGTGTGTTATAAACTTTTCGCGTTTCTAAAGATGACCATATCTCATGAAGTAAGCTGAGTTGAGAAATAAAATTTTATATTATTGCTAGTTAGTGTATATCAGTGGCGTAGCTAGGAATTTTCCTTAGAGGGGGTCCATACATATAAAAGCCTGGGGGCTTCGCCCCCAGACCCCTTTAACGGGCCTTCGGCCGGGTTTATCTTACAAATCATAACCATATCTTCGATAATATATAATAAATATATTTTTTAAATGCATCAATAATCTGTTTTATAATTTAGTAGCTTATTCTCAATGACTTTATAATAATACTATCAAGATAATTTCAATAGTAATAAAATATCCTTCCACAAACATCAAAACCAGAAAAATTTAAATATTATTGGTATTTATTTGATATAAAGTCACCACTTATAAGTCTTTTGAACGTATAATCTAAAAATAAATTTTTGTTCTGGGAGGGGTCCAAACCCGAAAACCACCCCCGTAGCTACGCCACTGGTGTATATACTACCATCATGCAAATTTTAAAAAAAATCGAAGAGGGTCGGGTTGAATTTTCAGTTGATTTGATATGGAATACAACATATTCTTTTTGTATAGTTTTATTTTATTATATATTGTCGGGAAAAAATAAATATTATTTTTGTAATAAATATTATTGTATATATTTAATTTTTTTAAGTAACGAGTAGCCCGTTACTTTTCTGAAAAGTCAGTAACGCGCGTTCCTTTTTTGAAAAGGTAACGAGTAACGGTAACGCGTTGTAGTAACGTTTACAGCACTAGATTATACAAATATTTTTTTTGATGAAAAGCCCGATGAAAAATTAAATGAATAAAAATATTAATTATATGTTATTTTTTGTAAATAATATTTTATTATTATATAACATATATACCAATAATTTTGTAATTAAATACAAAGATGTAGCGGAATTTATCTAAGAAATAAAAGGGAGGGGAGAAGGGGGGGGGGTTTATATTTTATTATTTAGTTGCACTTCATAGATTTGGGTGCTTTAAATGGTTTGGCAGTTAGTTCAAAATAAAACTAATTATATAACTAAATAATAAAAAATTTCCAAAATTGGCATCATGCTAGAACAAAAATTATTGAATATATGAGTGGGTCAATATGTAATGTCTGATTATTACTTACTAATTTATCAAACAGTTCCAATTAAATAAAAAACCAGTTATTAACAAAAAACTATAATGGTATTGACACGCCTTAGCCTGAATCTTATCGGAATTAGTCTAAATGCCAAATTTCTTTTTCGCATTTAATTGATATTGTTTATTTAATGGTTTATTTAATCGATAAAGAAGTAAAATAGTAAATCTTATTTTATTTTGAATCGAATTATGCTTTTAAAAATTAATTGTAATTCTAGTATTAAGACGCAGTCTTCTATTCAACTTTTAAAGGCTCTAATTTTAAGACTACTTAATTAATATACATTTTAGTTTTATTCTTCAATCTGTTTGCTAAAAAGTATAAATAAAAATGTTATTAAAAAATAACTCTATAAAATTATTCTCGCAAGGTAAAATGGGAAGTACTAAAAATATCATAATAAAAAAAACGCTAAATAAATGAAATATAATAATTTTAATCATAATTTCTAAGTGTAAGACTCAGCTATAGCCTCAATATATAATAATGTAATAGTAGTAGCATAAGAAAAATTAGTCAAATAGACTTGTGACCTTTTTTGAAAAAAGGATCAAAAGGATTGTTTAACAAATTGATCTCTATTCGGATTTCGAAAATCATTGATAGAGGCAATTAATTGATAGAATCCAGATGGGTTAATGTCTGTATTTTCTTACTTTCTTAAATATCTTTTTAAATAAGGGCATTTCTGCCCATGTGATTATTCTATTTTTTCAGAATCTGTTTTTACCATTTCAAAATTTATTTAGGAGCTCTTAGAGCTGTAAACTAAAAAATCTGGGGTATAAATTTTTATTTTAATCAAGAATTGCATATTCAGCATGTACCAAGAGGAAATGGACATATTTCATTATTTATTATGTTTTAATAATATGAATTAGGTAATATATCAAAATAATCGGTATATTATATCAAAATTTAAATAAATGATAAATACTATTTAATAATATTAAGTACAATTATAATCAAAATGATAATTAAGCAATGTTATGGTCAAATTATTAGTATTACTTTTTAATACTATTCACTTCTAAGTGTATTAAATGGAATAAAAAATGAAATCAAGAAATTTAGCTGGGAACAACAGGAAGGATTGGGTTCCAAATTATGACCGATCTGTGCCTGTGGTTACCAGCAGAGCAGTGGCGACATTAACGGAAGTTAGCTGAAAAAAGATAATTTTGGATAATGTTAGCTAAAAAAAATAAAGTAGGTAATTATGAAAATAATTTTAAAAAAATTACTTATGATATGATGTTAAATCAAATGATTTTTATATCTTTTTGAATCTGTCACAATCTTGGATAACTTACATGACAGCTTTTGTCGTTAATCAAAATAACACCTGAATTCTTAGGTTATTATGAAATTGAAAGTTTCATATTTTTTTATTTTAAGTTATATAATATGTTTACATTTGATATTTATTATATTAATATATAATTTAAAATTTGATAAGCCAATATTTATAAATCCTTTAAATGTCAAAAAAAAATATTCAATTATTGTTGCAATAATGACTGCCCCTTTAAATATATATCAGAGAAATATTATTAGAAAAACATGGTTACAACTTGATTCTCAAAATTCGATACACTATTTTTTTATAGGGGTCAGAAATATGAAAAAATCAATATTGAGTAGTCTTATAAATGAAAATGCTATGTATGGAGATCTTGTACTGTTACCAGACATTTCAGATGCTTACAATATAATTAGCCAGAAACTACTTGATATGATTAAATGGTCCTATGATAATATTGAATTTAATTATTTTATTAAAGTTGATGATGATTCATTTGTTAAATTAGATATTTTAGCTAATGATTTGATCTCAAAATATCATAATAAAAATATATATATGGGATATTTTGTTGGCAATGCAAAAGTCTATAAATCAGGTAAATGGGCTGAAAATTCTTGGTTTCTTTGTGATAGATATTTACCTTATGCTAGAGGAGGTGGTTATGTTATATCATTTTTTATTGCTCAATATTTAGCAAATAATTATCACTTATTAAAAGTATATAATAATGAAGATACTAGTCTTGGGGTATGGACAGCCCCTTTAGATATTATTAGAATTCATGATACTCGATTTAACACAGAATACATATCTCGCGGATGTTATGAAGATTATGTTATTATGCATAAGCAAAATGTTGAAGATATGCAAAAAATGTATGATATGTATAAGAGTTCAGGCAATATATGCGAGAAGGAATCAGCCACTATGGATATATATGAATATAATTGGACAGTTTTGCCATTTAATTGTTGTAAAAAGAAACCAAAATCAATTCTTTTATAAAATTTTATATATAAAATTATATTTTGGTAATATAAAACATACAATCATGGTATTATACTTTATTTGCAATCATTTCTAATGTGATCTCTAAATTTTAAATGTAAAATAAAAAATTTTTTATCCGAATAATTTATTAAGAATAATCACATATCAGATCACCAAAAGTAAATAATTCTTAAGTATAACCCTCTATAAATCTGACTTGAATTATGATTAAATAGTATATTTAAACATAAGCATTAAATTACAACATAGATAAATATTCAAGGTGTCTTTAACATATTTTTTTATTTTTACTAATACACTTCTATTTTACAAAATTGGCATATTAAAATAAATTACAATTATCTCATGTTATTTGTAATTCATCTGGAAACATGAATTCACATTTTTCTGCCATCTCTGATAGGATGCCTAAATTTTTGCTAATTCTGATATAACTAATTCCAATAGTGCAGATACTTTACTTTTTAAAATTCATTTTTTATATAAAAAGTATGACAGGGAGGAGGGGGTGGGGGGTGCTTATGAAAATTATAATTAAAGTTTAAAGAAAGATATTGGGACAATTTTATTTATGATAAAATTATTTTGGTCGGGGGGTGAGGGATGTTTTAAAGATAGATGCTAAGTTGTAATCATTTCCAGTAAATCCATCAAAATAAGCAATCATTTCATAATAATTTATTTTAAAGATATTCAATAAGATCAAATTTTTTGCTATCAATCTGTTTAATTTTTGATGATTTTTTGAATCAGATTATATTTTGATATAAGATTCATCGCAAATATCTATTAAATGAAAATTTTTCTCTGAGTATGTTGCACTGAAAGGTGACCTAACAACATCTCAGTTATTTAATTATACAAGAATGAAGAGAACAATATTCAATCATATTCTTAACTTGATATTTAATGACATCAATCCTAAAGATACTAACTGCAATAAGCAAGTGGATGCAGAGGATAGGCTATTGCTCTCCTTAAGGTAATATTTATTTAATTATCCTATATTTATAAAAGATATTTAATAACTGGTATGTCGTTTTCACAATTAACATACAGTTCAAGGATATCAAAATCATGTGTTGCATATATAGCTAATCAGAGGGCAATTTGGAATGCAGCTAGATATTTACATGCCAAAACCTTCAAGAAAGGATTGGGAAAGAGTACATTAAATTTATATATTCTAATAATTTAATATATAATTATTTAGATTTCACAAGAGTTCCTGCTTCATTCAGGGTTCCCTAATTGTTTTGGTGCCTTGTATGGAAAACATATCTATATAATGTCCTCCCAATAGTGGATCTCAATTTTTTTGTTACAAACATAGATTTACTTTAGTTTTGTTAGCCTTAACAGACATAAATAAAAAATTCATATTTATTGATGTTGTGGCTTATGGAAAGCAGAGTGATAGGGGAGTATTTATAAATAGCTCCTTGTATAGAGGTTAAATTAAAGTTATTTTTAACTAATTAAATCAATTATATTTAAAAATAAAGTGCAGAAATTGTTAACCAGATTCTTGATCTACCAATCTCATATTATATTCTCATTCCTCTATAGATAGACCTTTTTTAGGATAGGATTTCATCAAATAAGTTGTCAGTGGAAATGCATCGCCACCATTACATAAGGCATATTTTCACTAAGGCCAGGAAATGGATTGGCCGGTGGTAGATCAAGAGTCTGGTTAACAATTTCTGCTATTTATTTTTAAATATAAATGATTTAATGAGTTAAAAATAATTTTAATTTAACCTCTATACAAGGAGCTATTTTTTAAATACTCCCCCATCACTCTGCTTTCCATAAGCCCCAACATTAATAAATAGGAATTTTCTATTTATGTCTGTTAAGACTAACAAAACTAAATAAACCTATGTTTGTAACAAAAAAATTGAGATCCACTATTGGGAGGACATTTTATATAGATATGTTTTCCATCCAAGGCATCAAAACAATTGGGGAACATGAATGAAGCAGGAACTCTTGTGAGATCTGAATAATTATATATTAAATTATTAGAATATATAAATTTAATGTACTCTTTCCCAATCCTTTCTTGAAGGTTTTGGCATGTAAATATCTTTAGCTACATTCCAAATTGCCTTGCATACTGATTTAACTATATATACAACACATGATTTTGATATCCTTGAATTGTACGATAATTGTGAAAACGACATACCAGTTATTAAATATCTTTTATGAATAAATATAGGATAATTAAATAATTATTACCTTAAGGTAAAGAATAGCCTATCCTCTGCATCTACTTGCTTATTGCAGTTAGTAGCTTTAGGATTGATGTCATTAAATATCAAGTTAAGAATATGATTGAATGTTGTTGTTATATAACAATAACGATGGTAAGAAAAACAGTTTTAAGTTATAGTTATTTTATTCTAAAACTAAAAAATGATACTAAAAATAAATATAAAATAAGGTATATATATATATATTATAAAAAAAACAATTTAAACGAAATATATATTTTAAGGCTAAACAATTTAAGTTAAATAAAAAATCAATCAATCAACATTCCCCTTCTTCTGAAAAGTCTTCCCATAATCCATCTGAGCTGTCGTCGAAAATTTGTCGTTCAAATGGTGGTTCATTTTGATTGTTCAAGTCATTCATAGTCGTTGTAACGCTGGCTTGATTATATCGTTCCGAGTACGTAGGCTTGTCGTCATTTATTGTTATTATCACCAGTTGTAAAATTATCATTATTAAATAGAATTTCGGAATATATGAATAATTAGAGAATCGATCAAATTTGGATGTTAGAATAATAAAAGGATGATAAATCAACAAGATTATGTTATTACAATGAAACCTTATTCCGGTTCATCTTTTGGAAGAATATAACCTAACAAATGAAATTGAATTTTGATGTCTATGGATTCAAATATTCTTAACTCACTCCTTATCATGAATATAATTATTCAAGACTAAAAAACAGATAAGATATATTTATTTATTTATAATATTAATTAATAAATTACTATTATAATATCGGAAAGGGTAAGTTCCACTCATTTAGTTAAACTACAACTGGGTACAAGGTTTGTTGGTATCCTTGAGAAAAAAAATCGGCATAATTTTATGAAATTCACGTTCGCTCATTTTGTGCAGGTCTATGACCAACGTGCTAGATAAGAAAAGATAATATTTTTAACCTTTTTTTTTGCTTTTTAGTCTTTAATTTATTTTTACATGTTTTAATATATTAAGTTATATAATCTTTTAGATATACAGAAAAGAATCAATAATATATGTATTGTTTTTATAAAAGATATGTACATCTGTACACCCATCTCTCTCTTCAGAAATTTAAACTTTATGCCCTTATTAATTTAAAAAGTATTTTGAAATAATAATAATTCATAAGATTGTTTTTAGTAAAAAATAATTTTTTGAGTCTCAAATTTTTAGAAAAAGATCTCTTCATCACATCCTTAAGTATTCTTCTAGGATGAAGACGTTTAGTTTTTATATGACTTCTCTTAGTGATACTTTTAATTGTCTTCAAATGTATAAGTCTCAATTTTTTTTTATCGCATTTAGTAAGAGTTTTTTTAATTTTATTATTTTCTTTAATCTTTGTTTCATTGTTTTCTTTAATGTTTATTTCCTTTTTTATAATCTCGAATATTACAAATTTTACTATATAATTTATCTCTATTAGTTTATAAGAATCTCTTTCATTTTGAATATTTGGTTCTAATTCAATATTTTTCAATTTTTTGTTACTAAGAGATTTACCATTACAATGATAATTTCTTTTATTATAATGTGTTTCTTTATCATATTTATTGTCTAATTTATTTTTCTTATAATGGGATTCACAGTTATGACATCTAAAGTTAAATTTCTGTAGTATCTACAATTACAATTTTCATAATATATAAAATTATTATTGTTGCAATTTTTATTAAAATTAATATCATATATTTTAATAAAGTTTCGTCCAAAGTTGTTTTTAAAATGCTGAATAGATTGTTATAATTAATACTTCTATTATTATTATAATAACCTATGTCACTAGTATTATAATTTTTTTTAGACTGAATTTTGTCAATATGAAATCTATAATGATCTGGGAATTGAATTAAATACGGCCTATTTACGTAATATTTTTTAATTGTAGCTAAGAATTTATCTTTAGGCAATTTAGTTAATTCCCATTTTTGGTCATTATCTTAGAAATCAAATACGAAAAATATCAATGGGTAGGTCATCGAGAAATTTAACTGTTAATTCATTATAATATTTTCTAAGGTTATCTAAGTATTCATATATGTCCATTATGACTGATTTATATTCAAATTTTTTATTAAATTATTTTATTAAGTTATATTGGAATTTTATAATAACTTTCCTTTTTTTTTTACTTGGATTTAGAATAAATCGTCATTGGTGAATTCATAACCTATTGTCTAACTATCATTTTGGTTCTTGTAAGTTCATATACCCAATTTTAGTAATCATTTCCATTTATAACAACTCATATCCATAATAGATTCGTCTAGTTTGATATTAAGTTTAGTAATTCTCCTTCCCAGTTAAATCATCCATGTCATAATTTTGTTGTATCATTTATCGGCATATGCACAATATATATGAGATTTTTTTATATATCATTGTGAGTTATCATTCCGGGGCACCATGTTATATAACAATAAGATGGTAAGAAAAACGGTTTTAAAAACTAAAAAATGATACTAAAAATAAATATAAAATAAGGTATACATATGTATTATAAAAAAACAATTTAAACCAAATATATATTTTAAGGCTATAATAACAATTTAAGTTAAAAAAAAAATCAATCAACAGTTGTTCTCTTCACTCTTGTATAATTAAAGAAGGGAGATATTGTTAGGTCACCTTTCAGTGTAACATACTCAACTAATTGTCTTTTATTAAATATTTGCGATTTTTTTCCTCATTTTTTTATGTTTTAACAATAAATATAATGCTACCTTATTTTCCTGATCTGTGTTATTAAATTCCATTTTTTAATAAATAATTTAAAAATGCCGCCTCAATTTAAACAGAG